ATTATACAGGATTTATATAGTGCCAACAGTTTGCTCAGCACTTTACAATATAACGGGAGACAATACAGCAATACAGTTCAATACAAGAGGGATAGGAGGGCCCTGATCCTGGGAGCTTACAATCTAAGAGGGAGGGGCTTGGTACAAAAGGTAATAACTGTGGGGGATGGACTGGTAGGAGGAATAGAAGATTCCGTTTTTAGCTGAAGGGGGGATAGGCTTCCCTGAAGAGACAGGTTTTCAGAGATCGCCTAAAAGTGAGCAGAATAGGCTATAGTCTGATAAATTGGGGTAGAGAATTCCAGAGGATGGGGGAGGCTCTGGAGAAGTCCTGGAGATAAGCATGGGAGGAGGAGACAAGGGAACTAGAGAGTAGGAGATGCGAAGAGAACGGTTTGGGTGATATTTGGAGACAAGATTGGTGATGTAATTTGGGGCAGAGTTATAAATGGCTTTACATGTTATTGTTAATGTTTTTAATTTTATCCCCCAAATGTAATGGATTCCACCAGACCATCCTGGATTTCATGGGACTGTCCCTAGATTTTAACATAGTCAATTCCTCCAGCTATGGTCAGACTGTGTGATGAAGTGATGTACATAGAGCAGGCTTTTGCAGGCTAAGCCTCCGAGAGTGCCGGAAATGCGCACTCAGCCTGCAAGGAACATGCAAGGGATTCCAATAAAACCTTAAGAAGGAAAGGCAGCTCTAAGGCTCCATGTACACTGCAGCTGATAAACTGACATTCAGGAGCTGTTCAGCGTTTTTTTCAGCAGCCCCTGAACTCTCCCTAATGTTTTCCTATGTGTCCATGTACACATCGTCGTTTACAGGTAGCTGAGTTTACAGTTGTTTATTTGAACGCACCAAACTTGAATTCAGTAGTAGATTTTACCTGCGGTTCAAATGCTTGTAAACGCGGTTAACCGTGTTTATAAGCGTTTGTGTTTAGAAGCATTTTTTAACTGTTCCATATCCAGATGCTGTCCAGAGCTTTTTTCATCATCAGAAATGCATGCAAAGCGTTCTCCATGTATTCAAATGGACCCGGTACACCAGTGCAGTCAGTTCAAGGTTTCGCGTGAAGGAAAAAATGGTAGAACGTGCCGCATTATGCTCATGATGGGATCCATAGTGAATACAACCAGAAAAGACAGGTCATCTCAACACATACTGCTCTCTCTGCTTCTGCTCTCTCTATTCCTCTCAAAATGTCTGAAATAGTTAATTTGTTACTATTTATCAGTGCATTCTGGGTATTTGGGAAGTTCTCCTGAGGTTATATTTTAAAAATGCTTCTAAACGCAAATGCATATAAACGCGCATAAACGCGGTATACAAACATGGCTAAACTGACGTTTTTTAACCTACGTTTTCCAGCAATCAGTTTCCATCAGGGGCGAACTGACAACTCATGGGGTCCCCGGGCAATAAGGGATCATGGGGCCCCTGTGTCCTTGCCCAAACTCAAAAAAGCCTATGAAAAAGGTACCAGGGGCATCTCACGGGGCCCCCTACTGACCCCGGGCCCTCGGGCAGTGCCCGAGTTTCCAAATGGTCAGTCCGCCCCTGGTTTCCATCGTTCAGAAGAGTTTTCCAAACGCCCCGTGTACATGAGCTCTAAATCTACTGGGGCTGCTCACTCTGATTTCAAGATAGCACTGTATCAGCAAGAGGTCAAGGCACCTTTTTTTCAGGGAAACAAAAATACAAAAGTATGCTGGCAGATTAGGAGAAATGGAAATTTTTATTTTTAAGAAAAGAATAAAAAAAGTAGATATATTTGTAAAATGCATTCCAAAAATGTAGATTTGTATTTTTTTGACATACAGTATATTTGAAATGTATTTCTAAAAATATTTTTCATATATTTTGTAATAAAAACGCATTTCAACATGCAGTATATATATATATTTATTGAAATAAATTTGAAATATATTGAATACGGCCAAAATTGTAGCATTTCAAATATATGGCAATAAATTTGGGAAGAATATTTTTAAAATATATTTCAAATATATTTTTCTTCCATATGGGAATGTTTGCCTCTATACCCTGCAGACTTATTCTTGAAGCTTCCTCATTTTGTGGTCAAGCAACACCCTAAGGAACAAACAAGTGACTGATGAGCGTCTACTGTAAAAGTTAATGAACAAATGTTGTCAGCAAGGATCTTCCATAAACCATTTATAACTGTCATGTCATTACCAACTACTGGAAACAATCATTTCCTAGTCATGTTTGTGACCATTTTTATTCCCATGGACAAATTCATTCCTAAGAGTCTTCCTAAAACACCGGGGTCAAGATGAAGGAATAAGAGAGGACTTTCCCATCAAATATGTCAGGCTAGGAGATATAGAATGTAACCATGTTACAGCAGAACTAAACTTTCACAAAAGAAGACTTAAGCAATTCATTCATTATATTGTGGTGGAAGGAAAGAAAATCGCTTGATTCCCCTATCAACACAGTCACTGTTGATGGGGGAATCCCTCCATCAGTGCTTTGCCAGCGGGGAGATTCAATCCATCTATGACTGTCTTCAAACACTGGGGTCAAGATAAAGGAATAACAGATAAGGACTTTCACATCAAATACGTCAGATCAGGAGATACACTAACTATGTTAAATTATAACTAAACTTTCACAAAAGAAAAATTAGCTTTTTAGACCACTGTAAATAAAACACAATTGCATTATTTTAAATTACAAAATTAGTTTTTTTCCTTACTTTGTCCATGTTTTTTTCTCATTGTTGTTCCGTAAACCATTTACTATAACCTGTCATGTCAGTAAATCTTTGGAACAAATCATTTCATGGTCATGTTTGTGACCATTATTATTCCTATGGACAATGTCAATGCAAAGAGTCTGCCTAAAACACTGGAGTCAAGATTAGTGAATAATTATATTATTATTATTAATAATAATAATAATAAATATATTATTATTATATAGGATTTATATAGCGCCAACAGTTTGCTCAGCACTTTACAATATAACAGGAGACAATACAGCAACAATACAGTTCAATACAAAGGGGTTAGGAGGGCCCTGCTCCTTGGAGCTTACAATCTAAGAGATAAGGACTTTCACATCAAATGCATCAGGTGAAGAGATACAGAATGTAACCATGGTAAAGTTCTTATCTCTACAGAACATCAGTGAGAAATGGCATGGAAAATGTAAAGAGAACCTTTTTTTGTCATTAAAAATAATGCAATCATGTACTACCTATAATGTTCTACAAAACTAAGTGCTTTTTTGTGGAAGTTTAGTTCTTTAGCATAGTTACCTTCTATATCTCCCAACCTGATCTACTTGATGTTAAAGTAGAACTAAACTTTCACAAAAGAAGACTTAGTTTGTAGAACATTGTAAGTGATACATGATTGCATTATTTTTAATTAAAAACTATTTTTCTCCTTACTTTGTCCTATTTTTTTCTCACTGATGTTCCACAAACCATTTAATGTAACCTGTCAAGTCAGTAAATCTTTGGAAGCAATCATTTCATGGTCATGTTTGTGATCATCATTTTTCCCATGGACAATGTCAATCCAAAAAGTCTGCCTAAAACACTGCGGTCAAAAATAGGCATAAAAGCCAATAAATATGCTCACATGGAAGAAAAATATATTTTAAACATATTTTTAAAAATATTGTTCCCAAATATATTGACATATATTTGAAATACAATTTTGGCCGTATTCAATATAATTTTATTTATATATATATATATATATATATACTGTATGTTGAAATGCGTTTTTATATATTACAAAAATATATCAAAGGTATTTTGAAAAATATATATTTTTTAAATATATTCTTCAATTTTTTTTAACATATAAAAAAGTCATTTTAACATATATTTTTACATATATTTGTAAATGCATTCTAAAAATGTAGATTAAAATGTAGATTAAATGTATTTTTAAAGACATACAGTATATTTGAAAATGTATTTTTAAAAATATTTTTCGTATATTTTGTAATATATAAAGAACGCTTTGCAACATCCAATATATATATATATTATACATATATATATATAAAATATTTTGTAATATATAAAAAACGTATTTCAACATACTCTATTTTGTATATATATATATATATATAATATATATATATATATATAATATTTTTCATATATTTTGTAATTATAAAGAACATTTCAACATCCAGTGTGTGTATATATATATATATATATATATATATATGTGTATAAAAAACACATTTATATATATATATTATTATTATTATTATACAGGATTTATATAGCACCAACAGTTTGCGCAGCGCTTTACAATATAAGGGAGACAGTACATACATTTCAGTACAGAAGGAATAGGAGGGCCCTGCTCGTGGAGCTTACAATCTAAAGGAGATATATATATATATATATATATATATATACATATAGAAAATATTTTTCATATATTTTGTAATATATAAAAAACGTTTTTCAACATACTATATATATATATATATATATATATATATATATATATATATATATACACATATAATATTTTTCATATATTTTGTAATATATAAAGAACGCATTTGAACATACAGTGTGTGTGTGTATGTATATGTGTGTATGTGTGTATGTATGTGTGTATGTATATATATATATATATATATATATATATATATATATATAAATATTGAATATGACCAAAATTGTAGTATTTCAAATATATGTCAATATGTTTGGGAAGAATATTTTTTAAATCTATTTAAAATCTATTTTTCTTCCATGTGGACGTGTTTCTATTTTCTAATATAGTGGATATCTTGCTATTATATTTATAGGTTCGAAGGCTTACTCACAGGTATTATTTGTATTTATAATCGTTTTCTTCTCAATTAATCCCTATCTGTACACCCAAATTTTGTAATGAATTTATAGCTAACTGGCTATCATTTTGTATTTTGACTCACTTTTTTTGATGGAAGTTTCATATCAGGGGTGGACTGACAACTCATGGGGCCCCCGGGCAATAGGGGATCCTGGGGCCCCTGTATCCTTGCCCAAACTCAAAAAAGCCTATGAAAAAGGTACCAGGGGCATCTCATGGGGCCCCCTACTGACCCTGGGCCCTCGGGCAGTGCCCGAGTTTCCAAATGGTCAGTCCGCCCCTGCTTCATATTACTTATGTTATTTTGTAAGTTACTGATGTTCACCCTTTGGGCCATTTGTATTACTTTTATACTGTTCATAAAAATACTTTGTAAGCAAAAAAAAAATATTGAAATAAATTATGTTAAAGTGGAACTAAATTTTTACCAAAGAATTCTTAGTTTTGTAGGGAACTGTAAGTAAAACATGATTGCATTTTTTTTTATTAAAAAATCATTTTTCCTTTTACTTTGTCCATGCTTTCTCTCAGTGATTTTCCATAAACCATTCAATACAACGTTATGTCGTTAAAACCGTTGGAAGCAATCACTTTGTGGTCCTTTTGTGACTATTATTATTATTCCAATGAAAAATGTCAATCCAAGGAGTCTGACTAAAACACTGGGGTCTAGATAAAGGAATAAACACCAAGGAAAACATTAAGAGATAAGGAATTGAACTATGTTCAAGCAGAACTTTGCTTTGTAAAAAAAAATACTGTAAATAAGATATGGTTGCATTCTTTTTTAAATTAAAAATAATTTCCCCTACTTTGTCTCGGTTTTCTCTCACTGTGCTGTGCACATTCTGTAGACTATTGTTATGTACTTCCAGTGCACATGTGCCCCGGGCTGTACAGCAGTTTTACTGTGACTACATCAGAATGTGTCATTGCAAAGGGGAAGGTGATATAGCCCTGCTGTATATTTTTAAAGCACTTGGCAATGAAACCCAGTCACATGAATCCTCCTTGTAGTCCTCCATAACTCAGAAGCACACTTGGCACATCTTGGGACCAAACAGTTATTGAAATTCCTCGAGGCCCATATATTATTCCCCCACAAACACCACCTACCTATCCTGAAACTGGCCAAAATGGTATGGATTGAGGTTAAATGCTTCACTTTATTTCAGGACCTCCCAGATAATTTATTCTTATGGGACGCCTCTTTATTAGTACAACTTAGTGTGATCCAGATACTGCATTATGGGAATCCCATGGTATTGTAAGTCTTGAAGACCTTTACCAGAACAGAACAACATAGTCACTCATGCTATCACACACATTTCCCCTGTAGTTTCTTCTATAGATACTTATGACTGCTCCATGGCTTTGGAGGAACAATGGAGGGACCATCTCTGAATACCTACTAATAGAAGTGTTAAAGTTGCAAGGCCCAAAATGATTGACATCCACTCTGTATTACCACTTGGGGGAAAACCACACTGGCAATTAAGACTTAATGGAAACCCTACTTGGGATGGGATGATATGTGTTCTTCTCATGTTGGACATGTTGGTCTCGCCAGCTTTTAATAGTAGCTTAGTTCAATTTTATATTAAACAACAAACATACCTATCTCCTGTCTAACTGCACAAAATGGAAAGAATGGCTACCCTCAACTGTACACAATATAATGAACTCAAGGCATGTTTCATACAGCTGTACACCTGATGCTTGTTTATTTGGTACCCTAGACAAGAAGAATATATTAGAATATTATTGCAAGCAACTTTGTTTATGGCTTGTGTAGAGATCCACTGCCCTCTACTGTCAGCTGCTAGTATCACACTGTAATGTATGATTATGTATGTCGCTTTCTGACTCTGGGATTGTTGGGAAAACATTCTGAAAGGAGGAAATGGAGAGATATGGAGAGAGAGGAGGTCTCAGGGACATGTCCTGTCCATGCCACCAGATCAGAAGAGACAATTATGGGATGCCAGATACAGTAACTAGGACTGCATTCCAGGCTGGTTGGGTAACATTTGGAGGATCTCCTCATCACCACAGAGCTTATCTTCAGGACTTCAACACAGACAGATCCTGCATCATCCTCAGAGGCTCCTACAACAGACTCTTCTGCAGCATTCATCTGGAGGTATCTCTATTAATAATTATATATACACAGGCATATGTGCACAATTCCACCAGGACTTTGTTTGGGCCCTTTGCTGATATTACCTGTTTGTATATTAGATGTTTGCACTGTTATTCATCTATTTTTATATAAAGCTTGTATTATTTCTATACAGGTGTGCAGCCATATACCTATAGTTAATGTACATATTGGGTGCAGTAGATCTTCTGCTCCAAAATACTTTGGTTCAGGGGCGGACTGACAACTCATGGGGCCCCCGGGCAATAGGGGATCATGGAGCCCCTGTGTCCTTGCCCAAACTCAAAAAAGCCTATGAAAAAGGTACCAGGGGCATCTCATGGGGCCCCCTACTGACCACGGGCCCTCGGCAGTGCCCGAGTTTCCAAATGGTCAGTCTGCCCCTGCTTTGGTTAGATTACTGGTAATTTCCCAGGGAAGGAACCCTCTGTTCAGAGGCCATGCCCTGGGTGGAGGCACTGCCAACTTTATTATCAATCCCACTCTTCCTCTTAGCAAAGGTTATTGTGCTCTTATTTCAAAGAAAGAGGCTGGTAACTCCATGTGATGTGCTCTTAAATCTAATCTCATTTAATCCATCAGGAGTACAAGGATCTCAGTACAAAGGATGACAGGTTTCAGCCCAGTAGAAACCATTGGTTAATCATATTCCCCATAATAAGAATAGGAATTGGAATGGGAATAGAAACTGTTCCCTGAAATTCTATATATTTTGAAACCTATACCTAGTACCTGAATCTCTTCTGATATTAGCATTTAATAGTCCCCGGCAGAGCATCCAGGCTAAGCGATTGAAGACTCTCAGCCAGTCAGGGCTCTATTGCTTTGCACACTGCTGTCAGTCCAACAGCCAGTGATCAGTGAGTGAACATACTTACTGAAGGGAAAATCAGAGAGACGATCTTAGAATTCTGGGGTTCGTTCATTGTCTCATCACAGTTTGAGGAGGCTGCTGGACAAAGCTGCATTGCTTTACTGCACTGTTCCAGGACTATATTGTGTTTTCTGACTAGGGTGCTTGGAGCAACCCTGATCTCTGCATTCTCCTGAGTCCAGGGAGGGGCGAGATGTAGTGCTGGATTTATACGATCGCAAAAGGGGCAACAGCCCTGGGCCCCCCTTATAGAAAAGGCCCCTCTCAATGCAAAAATGATAAAAAAAAACATACAAAATAATAACAAAATAATTAACGATAAAATAATATAAAATGTTAAAAAATTACTTTCTTTCATTAAATGAATTTTGGGAAGTAACATTTTGCTGGCCATCATCTGTAAAGGTTTTTACTGTTATGTTTTATCATTTTTTAAAATTAATTTTGGTAGCTCAAGCAACACATATAGGTCGCTTTAGGTTGGTTTATATTCCCAGTGCAGGGGCGGACTGACCATTTGGAAACTCGGGCACTACCTGAGGGCCCAGGCTCAGTAGGGGGCCCCATGAGATGCCCTTGGTACCTTTTTCATAGGCTTTTTGGAGTTTGGGCAAGGACACAGGGGCCCCATGATCCCCTATTGCCCGGGGGCCCCATGAGTTGTCAGTCCGCCCCGGTCCCAGTGACAATCCGTAATTTTTAATACATCATTCTAAGGTCACACATTCACACACACATTCATAGGCTACCTTCCTTAAGAGCATAAGCACTCTATAGAGTTGATTTACCAAAAGCAAATAGACTGTCCACCATGCTAGTGCAGTTGCACTCATTTTTTCAGTATATATAATATGGTAAAGCTTCACTTTGTAAAAAACACCCAACAGGTGCAAGGAAAATTTAAATATAAAAAAAATATTTTTGCTTGCATATGATTGGATGATTGAAAAAAGCAGAGCTTTACCACATTTACTAAGCTCTGGGAAAAATGAGTGCAACTGTACTTGCAGAGTGCACAGTCTATTTGCTTTTGGTAAATCAACCCCAGAGAGCGCTTATGCTCTTAAGGAAGGTAGCCTATGACTGTGTGTGTGAATGCGTGACCTTAGAATGACGTTTTAAAAATGACTGATTGTCACTGGGAATATAAACCAACCCTGTGTATAAGGTCTAAATCTGACCCTAAGAAGATGCCTTGACACCCTTGACTTACAGAAAGTGGGTCAAATGGCAGCACAGTGGCTAAGTGGTTAGCCCTTCCGCCTGGCAGTACTAGGGTCGCTGGTTCAAATCCCAACCACGGCACCACCTGCCTGGAGTTTGCATGTTCTCCCTGTGCCTGCGTGGGTTTCCTCTGGGTACTCTGGTTTCCTCCCACACTCCAAAGACATGCTGGTAGGTTAATTGGCTCTGTCTAAATTGGCCCTAGTATGTGTATGTATGAATGTAAGTTAGGGACCTTAGATTGTACGCCCCTTGAGGTGAACGTACAATATATATGTAAAGTGCTGCGTAAATTGACAGTGCTATATAAGTACCTGAAATAAGTAAATAAATGTTTATTCTTCCATGATTATTTTTCCATTTTCTCTGGAGTGTACCATTAAAGTGTGATTACACCTTTGGTGCAGTACACTTATATCAGAGAACATACTCAGAAGGCCATAGTGATGCAAGTGCTTGCGTGGGCTCAGACGAAAACATATTCTGCAAGCAACTGGACAATCTACTCAAAGGTATCTTGCTGGATCGGAGAGGAATGAGTATAAAAAGGGGAGGCAGACTGGGGTTGCTCTGCTACGAACGTAACTTCAACATAGGTCTTGTAAATACTTTAAACTTAGTAAATTATGGCACTGCTGAGTTATGGTACAAGTACCACCCAACACGCACTCTCCGCTCCTCACAAGACCTCCTTCTCTCTAGTTCCCTGGTCTCCACCTCCCAAGCCCGCCTCCAGGACTTCTCCAGGGTGTCACCCATCCTCTGGAACTCCCTGCCCCAATCCATCAGACTATCACCTACTCTCCTCTCCTTTAGGGAAGCCTACCCCACCCCTGCTAATTGCCGACCTCCTTCACTCCTCCTACCACTCCATCACCCAAAGCTATTTCCTCCTGTACCACTATCCCCTCCCTCCTAGATTGTAAGCTCCAAGGAGCAGGGCCCTCGAACCCCTCGTGTATCGCATTTTATTGTTTTTGTACTGTCGCATGTACTGTCTCCCATTGTAATGTACAGCGCTGAGCAAACTATTGGCGCTTTATATAATACTGTATAATAATATTATAATAATGGTGTAATGGACAGGTACTGTGCAGTTAAGCCCCTTGTGAAACCCATATAATTATACTGTATTTCTTTGGTCTATATGTATATATAATCAGACATAAAGTGAATTTTAAAAAACAAGAACTTACATAGATCAGTCTCTCTCATAATATTTGACAAAAATGACTCCCATGACTTGCATCTATACCATCTGATTAGACAGCTGTGTCACAAAGTATTAGTATATTGTGGTTTTATTTGACATGTTTAGATATCTAGAGGAGAGAGGATGCCCACCATAACTATTCTCTTCTTCCAACTCTCTACTCTGTTTGAACAAGCTAAATTTCTCCAAGAGCACAGATAAAAAAGATCTCTTCATGACTTATTCCCCATAGCTGTACAGTGCTGATTGCCTTGCAATGAATTTTCAAAGTTATAATTACTAAATGCTAATAGAACAATATTTTGATGTAGTGGATTGATCCAAATGAAAAGAATATAAATTTACAGAATACATAAATCAGTTTTGCTCCCTAAAGGAGCTCAGTCTATTGTTCCATTACACATTCACAAGAATACCAGGTCTAAACTCCTAGCAGGTTTTTGGATTGTAGGACGTAACCAGAGCCCATGATGAATCCCAAACAAATATAGGGAGATTGTTGAACTCCCTGGAGGTTTAATTCAAGCCCAGAACCACAATTCTGCAAGATGAGCATTATAACCGCTCAGCCACTATGCTGCCCAAAGGTATTGGTGACCTGTAGTAAAATCACTAAAAGAAAGCACCAGGAAATTAGAAAAGACACCTGCAAATAAATAATGGAAAACTAAACCCAAAAATACACCATATTGCCCAAAGTATTGGGCCGCCTGCCTTTACACGCACATGAACTTTAATGGCATCCCAGTCTTAGTCCGTAGGGTTCAATATTGGTTTGGCCCATCTTTTGCAGCTATAACAGCTTCAACTCTTCTGGGAAGGCTGTCCACAAGGTTTAGGAGCGTGTCTATGGGAATGTTTGACCATTCTTCCAGAAGCGCATTTGTAAGGTCAGGCACTGATATCGGCCGAGATGGCCTGGCTCGCAGTCTCCACTCTAATTCAACACCCAAAGGTGTTCTATCGGGTTGAGGTCAGGACTCTGTGCAGGCCAGTCAAGTTTCTCCACCCCAAACTCGCTCATCCATGTCTTTATGGACCTTGATTTGTGCACTGGTGCACAGTCATGTTGGAACAAGAGGGGGCCATCCCCAAACTGTTCCCACAAAGTTGGGAGCATGCAATTGTCCAAAATGTCTTGGTATGCTGACGCCTTAAGATTTCCCTTCACTGGAACTAAGGGGCCAAGCCCAACCCCTAAAAAACAACTCCACATCATAAGCCCCCCTCCACCAAACTTTACACTTGGCACAATGCAGTCAGGCAAGTACCGTTCTCCTGGTAACCGCCAAACCCAGACACGTCCATCAGATTGCTAGACAGAGAAGCATGATTCATCACTCCAGAGAACACGTCTCACTGCTCTATAGTCCAGTGGTGGCATGCTTTACACCACTGCATTCGACGCTTTGCATTGCACTTGGTGATGTAAGGCTTGGATGCAGCTGCTCGGCCATGAAAACCCATTCCATGAAGCTGTCTATGCACTGTTGTTGTGCTAATCTGAAGGCCACACAAAGTTTGGAGGTCTTTAGCTATTGACTCTGCAGACAGTTGGTGACTTCTGCACACTGCGCTTCAGCATGCTCTGACCCCACTCTGTCATTTTACGTGGCCTACCACTTGGTGGCTGAACTGCTGTTGTTCCCAGTTGCTTCCACTTTGCACTTTCCTCTTATAATACCACTAACAGCTGACCGTGGAATATTTAGTAGCAAGTAAATTTCAAGGATGGACTTATTGCACAGGTGGCAACCTATCATGGTACCACGCTTGAATTCACTGAGCTCCTGAGAGCGACCCATTCTTTCACAAATGTTTGTAGAAGCAGTCTGCATGCCTAGGTGCTTGATTTTATACACCTGTAGCCATGGAGGTGATTGGAACACAAGAATCCAAAGATTTGGAGGGCTGGTCCAATACTTTTGGCAATATGGTGTACAATCCAGCCTACCAGTGTACTGACTATATTCATTTTATTTTCTGGCTAAGAACATTTTCGGCAAATACAGAAAATATATGTTGATCTTGCTAGAACTGCAATGCCCTTGTAATATCAGGTGCGCTGAACTGAAAGAATGAAATAAACTACCTTCTGCAAACTATGTGATGTTTGGAAAGTCCAGATCACCAGCCAGCCACCTTATTAAAAGCAAACAGTTACTTTTCAAAAAGGTTAAAGAAATCAGCTTCCTCTCAGCATGAAAACAAACAAAACGTTTTCCCTCTTTGTGACAGATCACCCCTCACAGGTGAGTACTCCAACTGCTCTATGTTGCTCTCCTAAAGGGACCATAACCCAAATAATAGGGACACATAGCTCCCACCAGGACACAGGACTTTCTGTACAACTAGAAATGTTTTCATTCCCCATGTAGTGGAGATAAACAAAGGCAGACACGCTTGAAGGTGACAACCATGACTCTCTCCATTGATACAGTGGAGGAGTG